CGCGCCAGCCCCGCGGCTGGGGCTTCCGCCGCGCCAGCCCCGCGGCTCAACATCTGATTATTATTTGAATGTGCTTGAACCAGGTGTGATCAGAATGCTATCTAAATAAAACAAGACATGTAAAAAAAAAAAAGAAAAAAAAAATGGGGCCGACAGGCGGCATGGCAGTTGCGGCAGTTAAAGCACTTAGAGACCTACATGACTGACCATGGTTTGGGTACTTGACTCAGCAGCTTGAAAATCACAACATAGATAGATAAATAAATAAATAAATAAATAAATGTTTAAAAGAGTTAAGTCTCTACACAACAAATGTGTCTGTCTCGTTACATGAGTTTCTCAAGAAGAGGTCATTTCGTTGGTATTCAGCAAGTGTTTGATTTCATGAGAAAAGTTTTCCAGGGATATGAGGAGTCATTCATATTCTTTTTTTTTTTTCTAGGCAAGTCTGAAAATATCTTTATTCTTCTCTCACATTTGATTAATATTTTGGCTTAGTAAAAATTCCTAAGTTCAAACATTTTTTTCTTTGAAATTTGAAGATATTGCTCAACTGTATCCTGTCTTCCACCCTGGATTAGGATGTATTTGGTGGCAGTATGATTAGGTTAACATCATTAACTCATTATACCCTATGCAATTGGAAGATATTAGGTTCTTCTCCTTATTATCAATGTCCTAAAATTTCATTGTCTGTCTAGGTGTGGTGAGGTCCACATTCATCTTTTTTCTTTTACCTCTTTTTATTGTATGATTTATTATTTACATTTAATTATCGTACATCTGTATAATGTACAATATGATTCAATATAAAAATGTATTTGGACATTTTTTCTAGTATTTCTTTGATATGTTCCTCTCCTTCATCTTGGCTTTTTGTTCTTTTTAGCCTTTCTTTTCCTGAAATAAACGTCCATGTGTCAGATATTTTTGTGATCATGCTCCCTCTATTTTATCTTTTCTTTCATGTTTTCTTTCTTCCCTGGTCTACATCCTGGCTGATATCTTTTGTTCTGTTTTTTTTTTTTTTTTTCCTCCAAATCACAAAGTATCAAAGTCTGAACATAGTCCTTGGAGATCACCTAGTTAAATTCCCTTATTTTACAGATTGAGAAGCTGAAGCCCAGAAAGGAAGATGAATTAAGGAGGTGACATGGCTTGCCCACAGTCACACATGGGTGTAGAACTAGAGCTATCTGACTCCAAGCCTGTGGGTTTTCTCACAGCCAAGAAGCCTTCATCAATATAGCCTTTCATCTTTTCCCTTAGACATTGGAGAATGACCCATTGGTAAAAAGGAACAGTTGGGTGAATTACTAGCCTGGCCATGGACACTGCCAACAGGTCTGCAGAGGGAGCCCCATTCATCCTACTGGGACTGACAGCAAGTCCTGGGCAGCAGAGACCTCTCTTCATGCTGTTCTTGGTCTTGTATGTGGCAGGCATCCTCGGTAATGGACTCATTGTGGCTGCAATCCGGGCCAGCCCTGCCCTTCACGCACCCATGTACTTCCTACTGGCCCATTTGTCCTTTGCTGACCTCTGCTTTACCTCTGTCACTGTGCCCAAGATGTTAGCCAACTTGTTAGCCCATGACCGATCCATCTCTCTGGCTGGCTGCCTCACCCAAATGTACTTCTTCTTTGCCCTGGGTGTAACTGATAGCTGTCTCCTAGCTGCCATGGCCTATGACCGCTATGTGGCCATTCGGCATCCACTCCACTATGCCACAAGGATGTCCCGGGCAGTATGCACAGCCTTGGTGGGGACAGCATGGCTGGTGTCCCATGTCCACTCCCTCCTGCATATCCTGCTCATGGCCCGCCTGTCCTTTTGTGCCTCCCACCAAGTGCCCCACTTCTTCTGTGACCACCAGCCTCTCTTGAGGCTCTCATGCTCTGACACCCACCATATTCAGCTCCTCATCTTTACTGAAGGTGCTGCAGTGGTGGTCACTCCCTTTCTGCTCATTCTCGCCTCCTACGGGGCCATAGCGGCTGCTGTACTTCGGCTGCCCTCAGCTTCTGGGAGGCTCCGGGCTGTGTCTACATGTGGCTCCCACCTGGCTGTGGTGGGCCTCTTCTATGGTACGGTCATTGCAGTATACTTTCAGCCCACGTCTCGCTATGAGGCAGAGCGGGGCCGTGTGGCCACTGTCATGTACACAGTCATCACCCCCATGCTGAATCCTGTCATTTACAGTCTCCGGAACCGCGATGTGCAGGGGGCACTCCGAGCCCTTTTCACTAGGCAGAGGATCTCAGCTGGTGACTCATGAGGGCAGGACCCTACCAAAGACAGACCGCACCACTCACAGTGACAACTTGTGAGTGTAATCACCTTTTCTCTGCTATCTTCAAAAATCTTAATATCCTTCATTTTTTTTCTTTTTTGATTTTTAAGACAGGCTCTCTGTCATGATCCTTCTGCCGCAGGCTCCCAAGTAGCTGGGACTACAGGTGCTCACCACCACACTCAGGTTTCAGAGTGAGACAGAATTGAACCCAGATCTTCCATGTGGCCTCACATGAAAGCAGCAGCATCAACCAGCATGGCTGGATCCTAATGGCTACCATTTTCTGAGCACTTACCCTCACTTTATTCTTATAGAAATCAGAGAAGCAGATATTGCAATCCATTTTTACAGATGAGGAAACTGAAGCCCAAGCACAAGAAGAGACTTTCCCAAGTTTATTTACCCAATTCTAGGGGGCAAAACCTGGGCCTTTTGGCAACATCACGCCCTCTTCCAATGCCATTGCAGGCATTTAGAGATAATCCTCCATTTTCTAAGGACTTAGAGTGATCTGAGAGATGATCTCAGGACTTATTTTGTGGAGATTGGCATGTTATATTTGGTCACATCATCATGTGTTCTCAAATGTGTTGACTTCTCCACTGTCTGGGACAGGAATAAAAGTTCACATACCCATGTGTGAAGGACCAGTCCCTCCTAACAAACACTGAGACACAGAAGGTATTCTGCAGATCTGAGATGAATAAATGATTGTGCTTTATTCTAACCTGCATTTTGAAGCAGTTTATTTTCTTATTCATTTTATTTTATTTTATTTTAGGTTTTGCATGTACTCTAGGGAGTACATGCAACCTATGGCATGTACTCTGGTGAGGAGATAGCCACACTGCAATTCCTTCTCTTCCAGAGGAGATAGCCAGAGGAGATAGCCACACTGCAATCCTTCTCTTCCATTCTCCTCTCAGGAATTTTGGATACATACACACAGACACACAGACACACACACACACACAACCAGCATATTTTCAAACTGCTGGGTCTGGGACTCAAACCATGGTAATCCATGTGGGATCTAGTACCTTAACCACCATAGCATCTGCTGGCCCCTTATTTCTTTTTTTTTTTTTTTTTTGAGAGGTTTTCGCTATAGGGCACGTGCGCTCGCCAGACAGAGAGAGAGACATAGAGACAGAAAGTGAGAAATCACCCCCCAGAGGGGATGGTCATGCCGCAATCCCTTCTCCTCCATTCTTCTCTCGGGATCTTGGGCACACACGCACACGTGCCCGGCGTGAGTTTTAAGCCACCAGGTCCGGGACGCGAACTGTGGTTGACTACGTGGGAGTCCAGCGATATAACCATTACGCTAACTGCTGGTTCCCCTGGCCCTTTATTTCTTCATTCTTGTTCTTATATTTGTTTGTTGTTCCGCTACACCTGTTGTTCTGTAGAAAGAGCTGCTGTGGGCATGCATGACGACAGATAAAATAAAGGAAAACCAAGAAGAAAGAATGGGCATATCATGAGGGGAAGCTAGAAGAGGCATTTTATAAGTTCTATCATATGCCAGCACTTCATTTACTTTTACCCACAAATAGCATGGGTATTCATATTGTCATTTTATAAATAAGGACAGAAGGCTCAAAGCTGGGGACCTAGTCAGTAACAACTCAGAATAAGTCCTTATGTTGTTCAGGTCACTCAAGTGTGTTGTCACTGAGCCCCATAGAATCCACACTCAGATTCTGGAGCCTCTTGGAAAAATTTGCAGGATGAAGCCTCAGATGGGGGCAGGTAAGGACACATGCTGGGGTCTGAAAGGCCCTCATAATGTGCCAAGTTTTTATCAAAAGATTTTACATCTGTATTCTTCCAAAAATCCTCAACCCCACCCCACTCTCCCTACCTCCTCCAGAGAGGAGAAACATGGCAGCCATACTGTAGTTGGGTCGCTATGGCCTTTCCCAATCCCACAGATGAGTCTGCCACTGCCTGGTCCAGATGGCTACATTAGATCTAAAGAGAACCTGAAAGGTCTGTAGACTGGCAGCTTTAGGGAAAAAGAAAAAACAAGAAGAGAATAGAAACAGTACAGTGTAGGAGAGGTAAGGGTCAAAGCTCTGAAACCCACATTCTCAACCTCCCTTATGCTTCTCACTGCCTCCAACCTGAAAGGTCCCTGATATGGCCAACTTCCTCTTCTGATAGGTTGTGAAACTGAGACCCAAAGTGGTAAAGGGACCTGCTCAAGATCACACAGAGTTAGTGGCAACCTTTGGGCTTCCTTGCTGGGCTTTCCAGTGCCACAACTCAGCCCTGCCCTGACTTTTAGAACATCTTTTCCCAGTCTTCTTTCCTCAGGTTACCTGTTCATGCCACAGTAGTCTACATACAATTGTGTCCTTCTGCTGCCTTCTCTAAACTATCAGAAATAGGGGCCAGCAGGTGGCATGGTGGTTAAGGCACTGAACTACCACACGACCAACCTCAGTTCCAGCCCCAGACCTGGTGGCTTGCTTTCTCACTTTCCCTTTCTCTCTCTCTCTGATCAAATTTTAAAATAATAATAAGTGGAATTAAATAAATAAATTATTATTTTTAAAATAATAGGCTGTTATCAGCCCTGCCCTTTAGCATGGTCATCTGCTGACCCTGTGCCCCCAGAACCTACCACAGAGCATTTCTCATGGACTGCTGTGAGAGTTCTATTTCATGATCTCCTTTCAGGTAAGTTCTCTGCCTCACCCAAAATAGAGGGGCATGAAAGGACCAAAGGGGTCATCAGTGCTCCCTTCCTCTGGGCTACCAGCCCTGTCTGATCACCCCGCTCAGATGTCAGCCCAAAGAGCATGCTGCATCACTGGAGAGATGCTAAACTCTTGGTGGTCCTCACACCCATGTCATAGCACAGCCTGCCTTCTGCCTTGGCTCTGGCCACCAGCAGGCTACTTCTGCCTCAGCACAGCCATTGCCTTCTACAGGGTGACCATAACCAGCATCATGATCACTTTCAGGCCTCATGATGGCCCAGCACCAAATTCCTAGTACAAATATAGGGAAATTGAGTCTCTTAGAAATAAATGGAGGCTTATCCTAGTTCATTCCATCATCCAATTTCAGTCTCAATTCTCTGATCAACTCCAGACTCCTACTAGACAGGCAAGAGTAGAGAGTGGTAGCCTGTGGCTGCTTGGGCCACCTTCTCACCCCACTCAAATTATATCCAAACTTGTTTCACTGCAGCTAGTCTTAGAAGACGAACTGACTTGGAAGGACCAGCAGTTAGTGTAATGGCCATGTCGCTGGACTTGCATGTAGTCGACCGCAGTTCGAGTCCCAGACCTGGTGGCTTAAAACTCACACCGGGTGCATGTGTGTGCGTGCCCAAGATCCCGAGAGGAGAAGACGATGAAGGGATTGCAGCCTGGCCATACCCCCTGGGGGGTGATTTCTCACTTTCTGTCTCTCTGTCTCTCTCTGTCTATCTGGTGAGCACATGCACCCTATAGCAAAAACCTCTCAAAAAAAAAAAAAGGAAGACAAACTAATTGGAGACAAGAGAATAAATTCTTCCCCTGTCCCAAAGAAGACCTCCAAAGAGTTCATAAATCCATGAAATAATTTTTTCCTGGATCATTTCCACATGAAATATAAAGAAAACAAGGCAAGCAGGTGATGTGGTGATTGGGGCGCTGAACTCCCACATGGCCGACTGCAGTTAAGTCCCAGGCCTCGTGGCTTGCTTTTGCACTTTCTCTCTCTCACTCTGTCTCTCTCTGGTCAAATTAAAAAATAATAATAACAAAATAATCCTTTTTTAAAAAAGTATAAAGAAACCAGTGTTTAACACCTTAAGCAAAACAAATGTATATAAATAACTGACTCCCCTTCAAGCAATTCGCTAGGAAGAGCTTACACTCATTTCAGTGAGGCAACCTCAGAGGATCTTGTAGCCCCACTTTAGAAGGACTTTGGACCACACAAGAGAATCTGCCTCTTCCCGCTCACCATGTTCCCTGAGCTTGTCCTCAATGACTTCTGACCTTTTCAGAATCAGCCCAGTCCACAACCCTTCAGTTTATACAGAATAATGTATAACACTATGGACCACCTCACCCAAACTAAAGCATATAACTGCATCTCAAGAAAAGAATTTCAGAGTCTATATCCACAGCCTCATTTTTAATGCAAGTTTTAGGCATTATAAAATAAGGCAGCCTTATTGTAAGTGTATAGCAATTGGAGATTTGAATAGTGAAAAAGACTCGGACCATACGAAATTGATTATTCCTTCTAAAGGTACAAAAAATAATTTCTATAACCTAAGTCATCTTTCATGCAAGGTCTTCCACCAGGAAAAAATGTAGACAACAGAGGTGCAAAATAAAAACAGGCATGCTTGGAGCCTGGGAGCAACTTTGGGACTTTGGGTACACCATCGCCCACTGCTCCAGCAGCCTGGGCTTGCCCTGCTCACCTGAGCTTGTCCTCAATAACTTCTAGCCTTTTTACCACCACCACCTGCCAAGATACTTAAGCCTGGTTTGGGAAGGCCTCCATAGGTGAACCCATACTCGGGGCTTAGAAGCAACTTTGGGGCTTTTGGCACACCATCGCCCACCACTCCAGTAACCTGGGCTTGACCCATCTGCTAACCACTGGGATACTTAAGCTTGATCTGGGCAGGCCTCCTTGGGCCAGCCCACACTTGGGGTTTGGGAGCTACATTGGGACTTTTGGTACACCAACGCATGCTCTGAGCAAACCCCCTTCACTAAGTTACATATCCTTAGCTTGCTACCACCTTATCAAGAGCTGAACATTTGATGGAGGACCCAAGCACCTGAAGTTACCCCTAACTGCTCTGACCTGGGAGACAGAGCCCTCTAATCGGAACACACCTGAGAAATAAGGGTGAAATTTTCTCTAGCAATACTACAGAATTTACTCCAATAAATAGGAAAATGTGAATACCGCATCAGATGACTAGAAACCAGCACCGATCTCAAAGAAACATGAGAAAACAAGGTGGTAACTCTCCCCCAGGTGAGCATAGTAGCCCCTCACCAACAGTGGATAGCACACAGAAATGTACAGAAGTGTCAGAAAAAGAATTCTGAATTTTTCTCTCTTTTTAAATTTTATTTATTCATTCATTTTATTTTAATTTGACAAGAGAGAGAGAGTAAAAGTGACAAAGCAAGCCAACAGGTCCAGGACTTGAACCGTGGTTGGTTATGTAGGTGTGTCCAGCGCCTTAACCATCACACCACCTGCTGATATCCAATAATTCTTAATATTCATAGTGATAAAACTCAATGAGATGCAAGAGAAAATAGTTCCAGGAAATAAAATCATTTCAG